TTATATGTATATGTATGACATAAATTGTATGTATGCATGATTATAGGTGTTAACATGCTTTTGAATGAATGATATGAAAAGTGTATAAGTGAAATAACATGATAGGTGATAAAACTGCAAGTCTATATGATTATGTGTATATGTACATGATATGACATGCAAGTTACATGAACAAATGAGAAATGGTATAAGTCATATGAAACGATCTACGTGAATACATGCACTTGTGATACAAGTGATATGAAATGTTATAAATGATAATGCCCATGTTATGTGATATGAGAGCTAGGGGTATAGTTGGCATGCCAAGAGTCGAGGGTTTACCTATGTTCTACGGAACATATGGACAGTTTTACCTATGTCTTTCGAGACATATGGACAGTATACCTATGTTCTAAGGAACATATGGACAGTTACCGAGGATCTTTATGACCTCTGGACAGTTACCGAGGATCTTTATGACCTCTGGACAGTTACCGAGGATCTTTATGACCTCTGGATAGTTATCGGGGTCTTTGTGACCTCTGGATAGGTCCTTCGGGACATTTATATGAGCTGTGGTGACAGCATAGTGGTGCACAACCTCAATAGACTCCCATAACTACAGTTCTCACAGGTGCACATGGGCTAATAAGAGATAACATGGAATGTACTGTATATGATATATGTGTGTTAGTGATTATTGTATATGCTATAAGATATATGATATGAGCTTAATTGATTATATGAACAAGAGAATAGAAATATGAAAGGTGATAATATGATAATGATAGGAAAGAAGATAATTATATGTATGCGTGGATATATATATATATATCTATATGAAAGGTGCATAGTAGGAATCATTACATGTATATGTGGGTATGGTCCTTGTACGTGATATGTTAGTAGAAATTGTTCAAGCATGATTACGAGTTAGAGTTTTATTATATGTTTTATGCCTCACTAAGTCAACGACTTAGCGTGTGATTGTTTCACACGTAGGTTACAGAAGTGAGAAGAGTAAAGAGCTAAGAGGAGCAAGACAGGTCAGTTCTCCTTACCCAATTGTCAGATCAGAAAATATATGTACGGTATATAGAGTGTAGTTGGCATGTAGTCTAAAGATATAAATTGTATGAACTCTGATATATTTTGTAAACGTTTTGAATGAGTTAAATGTTATCCAAGTTTTTAAATTACTCACTATTTTATACGAATAAATGTTTGAAAAGTCAATATGACACTTCGGACTCGTATCCGGGTCGGATACGGGTTGGGGGTGTTACATAATACATGGGACCTTGTGCCACTACCACAAGGAAGGAAGCCAATTGGTAACAAATGGGTTTTCAAAATCAAGCGAAATGGTGACGATCAATTGGAGAGGTATCGTGCAAGACTGGTGGTAAAAGGATATGCTCAGAAAGAAGGTATTGATTTCAATGAAATTTTTTCTCCTATGGTTCGACTAACAACAGTTCGAGTAGTCTTGGCAATGTGTGCTACATTGAACTTACATCTAGAGCAACTAGATGTTAAAACAGCTTTTCTTCATGGAAATCTTTAAGAAGAGATTTACATGCTCCAGCCTGAAGGTTTTGAAGAAAAAGAAAAGAAGAACTTGGTTTGCAAGTTGAACAAATCTCTGTACGGTCTAAAGCAGGTGTCAAGGTGTTGGTATAAGAGATTTGATTCCTTCATTATGTGCCTTGGATACAGCAGACTTAATGTAGACCCTTGTGCTTATTTCAAGATGTCTGGTGATAACGATTTTGTTATATTGATGTTGTATGTGGATGACATGTTGGTTGCAGGACCCAACAAAGATCATATTGACGAATTGAAGGCACAACTGGCTAGGGAATTTGAAATGAAGGACTTGGGATCAGCAAACAAGATTCTAGGGATGCAAATTCACCGAGACAGAAGTAATAGGAAGATTTGCCTTTCACAAAAGAATTACTTGAAGAAGATCTTGTCACGATTCAGCATGCAAGATTGTAAGCCAATTTCTACCCCTCTTCCTATTAACTTCAAATTATCCTCCAGTATGAGTCCTAGCAGTGAAGAAGAGAGGATGGAGATGTCTCGAGTACCGTATGCATCGGCAGTGGGAAGTTTAATGTTAGCTATGATATGCACAAGACCAAACATTGCACAAGCAGTGGGAATGGTTAGTCGATACATGGCGAATCCAGGCAAAGAGCATTGGAATATTGTAAAGAGGATCCTAAGATACATCAAAGGGACCTCAAATGTTGCATTATGTTACGGAGGATCAAATTTACTTATAAATGGGTATGTCGATTCTGACTATGCAGGGGATTTGGATAAAAGCAAATCTACTACAGGATATGTGTTCAAAATTGTTGGTGGAGCTGTAAGCTGGGTTTCAAAATTGCAGTCAGTTGTGGCTACGTCCACAACAGAGGCAGAATATGTAGCAGCTACACAAGCCAGTAAAGAAGCAATTTGGTTGAAAATGCTATTGGAGGAGCTTGGGCACAATCAAGAGTATGTCTCTCTGTTTTGTGACAGTCAAAGCGCCTTGCATCTAGCAAGGAATCCAGCATTTCATTCAAGGACAAAGCACATACGAGTTCAATACCATTTCATTTGTGAAAAGGTGGAAGAAGGAACGGTAGATATGCAGAAAATCCATACCAAAGACAACATAGTAGATTTCGTGACGAAGGCAATCAATGCTGATAAATTTACCTGGTGTCGATCCTCCTGTGGCCTGTCAGAAACGTAAGCAACATGAAGGTACAAGGTAGAAAGAATGGTGTGAAGATATGATTATTCCAATCAAATCTTCAAGTGGGAGATTGTTAAAAGTCAAATAATTTAGGCACCAAATTAGGCACCAAATGGTGCTTTGTCAAAGTCAAAAATTAGGCACCTAATTTTTGTTGAAATTGGGTAATGGGATAATTAATTTTAGTCATTGTAATTTAGGGTATTTATAAGATTAGTCCTTAAGTTTCAACTATAAATACCCTAGCTCATTTAGCTTCAAAATCATCCCAAAGCATTCTAGCTTTCTTCCAATACTAGAGAGAATTTAGAGAGTTTCTTGAGAGTTGTTTTCTCATTTTTATCAAGAGAGAATTATCATTGTTTTCTCCTTGGTAGATCGAGAGAAGTTGTAATTCCTATTTTCTCATAGTGAAATTCTTCTACTGTTGCCCGTGGTTTTTACCCTATATTATTCAGGGGTTTTCCACGTAAATTTTGTGTCTCTTTTATCTTCATTTTTATTTTCTCAAATTATCAGTTGCGATTTTTCTCTATTCGATAGCCGTCTTCCGCAACATGTTGAAAGTGTGTTTTCAATCGGAGTTTTTACTCCTAAAGTAATTGATGTTTCAAGGTTTTATGTAGTCCAACAATCATATAAAAACAAGTATTTGTCTACTATAGTTTTAAAACTATTTTCAATTAGCTCAACGATAAATTTATAATCAAAATAGGATACATTACACTAATAGTCACTAAACGTTTAGGATGTTTGCACTTTAGTCATTAAAATTGAATTCATTGAAATCATTGATGTTAAGAAATTTGTTTACTTTAGTCACTGGACCATTAAATGACTAATGACATATGAGTTATCATGCTAACATCTTATGTTCCGTTAAATAAAACTTATAGAATTCGTGTAAAGATGGAGATTGTTAGAGTTTAGCCCGAATTTGATCTAATTCAAATTAATGAAGATTTAAAATTAACATAAAATAAAAAAAAAGTATGGAACTTAAAATGATTGAAAGTAAAAAATCTATTAGATTTTATATAGATTAAAGATAGAAAACATAGTTTGAATAGATTTTTATTAAGCTTTTTGAAATCAAATAACCATCCCTATAAATAGATAATAGGGTTTGAAGAAAAAGTTGTTTTTAAAAATCCTTTTATAATCTTCTTTTTCAATATTAGTGAAACTCTCTTCTTCTATTCATACTTTTTCTGAAAAAAAAAAGTTTACGTAAAATCTTGGTATCTATTTTATTGTGTGATAGCTATACTTATCGTTATCTTCTAATAAATCGATATTATAACATATTCATGTTTAATTCGATCAAAATAATAGTGTTCATGTTCGATTTATGTTAATTTATTTATTTTTGAATATGCTCGTGTTTGTTCATTTAGCGATTACGAACATGTTCATTTAACGATTACGAACATGTTCATTTAACGTTCATGTACACATACGTTTAATGTTTGACAACCAACGACCTCTTTTACTCTTTTTATTTGTAAGTCAAAAACATGGTGAAATTACATCACTAGTCCTTAATTTTCTTAGGTTTTACAGTTTGAACTCTATAATTCACCTTAGGTTCAATTTGGTCCATATCTTCTCCAATATTTAAAATTTAAAAAAAGAAAAAGAAAAGGAGAATCAAGTATACAAGATAATAACACGAGCTTATAAACGAGTCGATAGATGAGTTTTTTCGTGAACACAAATGAAACGAACACACATTTGTTCGTGCTCGTTCATTTATTAAATGAACATAAAAATTTTGTTATTGTTTATTTATTTATTTTAATAAATGAAAGTTACGTGAACAATTTACGAATAATTTGTCGAACGCTCAGTTCATTTACACCTGAATGTAAAACTAAAAAAAATATATAATACGATTAATATAGATTCATATAATTAAAATCAAAATCAATCATTCTAGAATAAAAATAGATGGATTCATAATCGATTATATCTAAACATGATACACATATAATAAAACTTAAACCAAAATAAAATTTAGATCGAAAATCCACCACCTTCACCAACAAAGTCAATGCTTCTAGGACACAAATAAACCTTTTTTTAATGCTATATGTAAATGTAAATACCAATAAATAAACTCAAATTAAGAATAAATTTATTTTTATATAATTGTATTGACATGGTTAAATAGTATTTTTGAAATTTACACATATTTTTATATAAAGATAACCTATTCTAAATTTCTAGTCATTGTTCTTGTAAAGAGTGAAAAATAAAATAAAGAAAGTGATTTCAGATGAAAATAAATGCAGGTGAAATTTACTTTAAATGATCTAAAGGGAATAAACAAATAAAATTTGGAGTTACAACTCATAGAAACTATGCCGTTTAGGTATAGAATCTTCGTATTGCGATCTCTTTACCGCACATGAATAACCTTTCCTGAATCTGTTACCGGATTTTCTCGTCACTTCGACTTTCACCGTAAACAATGACGAAACGGGCCGATGATCGGAGAATCTCGTCTCACCACGGACGTACGATAATTGCTGAATGCTGTAACCGTGCCATAATATTCGATCACACCTAAAATGTTCCCGATTAGAAAAGCGATTAATTAGATGATTTTATCTTTATCACAATAATGTACACAAACACTGATTTGTTTAGAGTGAATGAGTACCATGCAGGGGTTCGTCGTTTTTTCTTCGATTTAACAGTTTCACCGGCATATAAATCTGAATTTTGCGAATACTTGTACGTAGGAGCGAAGATTATTCGTCCCTCGTGGAATCCATTGAAGACACTTCCGGCATCTCTCTCTATGTTTAACTGCAAAAAAACAACACATTTCCAATGAGAATTACTTATTAACCTTTCCTCTTCATCTAACCATGGCGAATTTTACCTGATCTTTCTCGAGAAGGACGTCCCAATTGTTCCCCTCCAACAGAGTCCTGGTTTTCTCATAGCTCAAGGCTACCCGATAATTCAAATCTCCAAGCCATATTACTCGGCTGCAATATTGATGATACTTGTTAAATAAAACACACAACAGAATGTTATAATAACGATATGAAAGGAAACGTACTCATGTTCTATAATTCTCTCCGGTGCTCGAGGATTCGAAGCTTTGCACATCTTGGGGAACTGCGTGCTTCTGAGTATCTCGTTAACATCAGCATTTCTCTTGGGTTCATTGCCTTCCTTCTCACCCGAAGCTAAGTGACTGCAGACGAAGCAAAAGCTGGTCTGGTGCAATGTCATGCTTACTGCTATACATCCCTGCAATGCCCCCATTGTTTATGAAACAAAGTGACCTTATATGGCGAGGGAAGAGATCATGTTCAAGGAAGATTTATATTCTAACCTTGTTGCCGAGACGTCCCAATATTCCTGTTCCTATACAGGAAATTCGTAGATGAGCAATGTATGGTACTAACTCAGTTCGAGCCCATATCGAGAGGAAAATCCCAACCATTTGCTTACTAGCTACGAGCCGGTAACCCATGTGTCCGTTGGAAAAGTTTTGGGGCATATTAGAAAGATCAACCAAGTCATCATCAGCGGCACCATCACGACGCGCGGGTAGGGGACGGAGGTCTTGTTTGCTGGCTAAATCCCTAAGCTTTTTTTGCCCTCGTTTCGCCCCATGTGTGGATTCAATCGGACAATTGCAGGTCTTGAGAAGGCTACTTTCCGCCCTGAAATTCTTACTACGGATTTTGAGTGACGGCTTGTGGAAGAAGTGACTGTTGGGAGATTTTGACTCCTTCAATAAGGACTGGGAGCATTTCAAACTTTGGATACAGTCGGGAGATGGCTGCGTGATGTCGTAATCGGGCTTGTTAAGTACTTGGTTTGTAAGGACCAACCATTTTGCAGCAGGCTCATTGTCTTCAATCACTAGAACATTTCCGGCATTGAGTGGAACTATTTCCTGAAACCTGGGAAATCGATGTTCTAAGTAAAAAAAACTCCAAAATCTTGTCATTTTATATAAATGAAATGAAGCCTGAAACAATCATAACCACAGACATAAATATCTGCAGAATCCTCAGTTAGAAAGAAATCTTCAAGGTTAATGTCAAGATTGGGTGCCTTCCCTCCCACATTCCAAGTTGCAACGAATACCCTGAAAATGCCTTATATTACTTCTGTAAGAAATAAACATAGAAGGAAACAGCAGCATAAAAAGGAAAATGATATATGGATACCGGAAATCCCGAGGTTGAGTCTTTGGTGAAGCCATGGAACACCCGAAATCTGAGAGATTTAGCCCTTCGATTAGCCCTCCAGTAACTTCCTCTCTTCCTAGGAGCAGATAAGAAAATTAGTCTCATTATTGTTTTTCTTTTCTTCTACCAGTTGTAGACTCAAACACCAATAATTTTGTCGATCATAAAGCCAAAAGGGTCAACGTCAGAAATGAAACTCTTCCACTTACCTATTTATATTTTATTCCCTTTCTAACATTTTCTTGTTAGGTTAGCTACGAATGTTGTATAGCAGATGGGAAGAATTTATTTTCCCTGCTAACTGGATACGTGGCCTATACTCTTTACATTATAAAATTACGGCTCATTGCACCTAATGCATTCTTCATATTCATTTCAACACCGGCAATGTCTTCGTGAAATTTGAATTTATTTATATCAATTATTCATTTCATCATGATGTTTAATTTAAACTTTTATTTGTTTTTATCCTATATAAAATATTTTTACCATAAAAAATATTTTTAAAACCGCCACAGAGACTTCCCTGAATTCTATTACGTTTGATGTAATTTTCTACTCGAATTCTACCAAACATATCACGTAAGAGGTTTAACTTCTTATATATATATATATATATAAAGAACATTAAGATGTGTTTCATATAGGATGAAGGTGGTACCTGTAGGAGAAACTCCACAATCTGGTAATACAAATTCTTCATCTGATGACCCACCTCTAGCACGTCGCTTGTAAGAAAAAATCTTTGGGATAAAGGACTTTACCCCACAACGATAATAATAATAAAAAATAAACGAAAAATCAATAAAAATAGAAATTAGGATCAATTATTTTGAAGTAAATTAAGAAATATATTATTACTGTACGGGCCTTCTTTTTCTTGTCATTCTTGACGGAGTTATCAGGAGAGGTGGCAATGGCGGTTGGGGTGGTGGGGCGGCCGATGCATTGGCCTTGATCGTCCCCGAGTTGGCTTTCGTTCATTAGGTTACTAACAAAAAATTATTGCAATGAAATTAACTGTCCAATTTTCCAACAGTCTTAGGTATCAATTAGCCAAAAATTCATAAACAAAACAATGTCGATGGGAAAAACAGACTCTGGGTCTTTGTGTTTATGATTAATGCTGTTTTTTTCTACTAGTTTTCTTTTAATCACTTTATATATTTTTAGGGTAAAAATGATTGAACATTAATATTTTATTTGATCTGTTTGATTAGGATGAGATATTTTCGCCAATTCTTTGGGAGAGTATTGAATCATCGTAAGGAGGCGAGGGAAAGAAGCCGTTCACAAATAAATAACAGCAAATTTTAACATTGCTTTTTCTGTCTGTCTAAGAACTTTACAACACATCATCCTTATATTTGTCCATTTCATTGTTTACAAGAACCGACGCACTATTTTGTATTAAGGATACGGATTGTAGAAACTATACTATGGATTCAATGGTGTAAAATTATACAATTTAAAGATACATGAAATTATATAATTATTAAAAATTATAAAAAAATATCTAGGGAAAGGGAATGAGAATTTTGATTTTAATAAATATTGAACCTACAAATTAGATGAGAAGAAATGTGTCAATTGAGAACTTTTAATCACTTGATTTAGAGATTATTAGCGTTTGGTTTGTTCTTTATTTCATATTAAGATGACGGAGAAATGATTATTTAATATTATTATAAACTTAGGAAATTAATTAAACAATTTATAACTTTGAAGTAAAAATAGCTAGTTAAATAAATAGCCACTGTTTTAATAAAACAAGGAATTGCAAATGGGAAAGCCACACCACCATCAAGAAAATGATGGGATCATCATTATGACATCCTAAAATCAAGAAAAAGGGAAAAGCTAAAGCACGAACATCAAATATTAAATGATATATTTTATTCATCATCCTGCAGTAAACTGCGGAGCAGTTCTGCGCAACCGGCCGCCGCCGTATCCTGGAGGAATCCCATTGCATTTGCGTAATGAATGTGGGAAACGGCACCGTTGCTGCGGGTCAGGATAACAGTGGCCTTGTTACGCCTGGTGTCCGGAACTGCACAGCTTTTAATGGGGCTGCTAACAAGCGTGGCGTAGCATATTTGGTCTTGGTGGTCATCTTCAACCAAAATGCTATATGTTCCGGTTGCGTCCGTCTCCGCTCCAACGCTGAATTTCAGCTTCATAGTGATCCTATCATAGCACTTGATTTCGACCCTCGCACCTAAAAACAAAAAGCTTTGATTAGAGACAGATTGAAGGGGGAAAAAAACAAGACATAACCGATGGTGAGAGATTAATTGGTTTAATCTTACCAGGTATGTAAGAGCATTTAACTGTCTCGAAACCAGCACGGCAGGCGTCACAGTAAACTTTTCCGATGATTTTGAAAGGTTGCCTGTTTGCGTTAACGAGAACAGGAAGAACACAGATGGCAAGCAACAAGAACAACTTGGTGGCCATTGCGTTGATTTGAGAGAGCAAAGAGGAAGAGAGAGACTTGGAAATGGTGGATCATGGGGGGAACGAGAGTGATATTTTATAGTGGGATTCTTCATGTAGGAATAATATAGTAATAGTTTACTTTGGGGGACTTTCTGCTGGAAGACGGTCACATGGTGAAAAATTATTAAAGATTTTCGGGTGTTGCGGCATATTGTTCTCAAATTATGCATTAAATGGAGGCAGGTTGGAATCAGATCCAAGTTGCCAAATCCTTCGTTTGCGCCATATGCATTCTGCAAAACATAAATATATTGCACTACTTTTAACAAGCAATGTATGAACATTTAGATTCTCAATACATCAACTAGCAACAAGTTAGTGACTGCTCATTTATGTTGGATTGCTCACAGTTACATTTGTAAAATATGTATTCGTTATCAATAACTAATTTATTTTTGAACATATACTATCTTATAATTATTAAATACTATTTAAAAAAATATTATCTCTCATAATGATACAAAATATAATAATTTTGATAAAATAGCTACTATTTACTATATGTCAATAAATACACAAATAATGTAATAAACATGAAAATTTACATGTTTAAGGATATATTGGTCGATCCAATAATCCAATGTAAAAGCAAGGCCTTTAGGCCATTAATAAGCGTTGATCGAATACATTAAGCTAACCTCGAATATATCCTAAACATTTGGTGCCTTTTGGCTCCCTTTAACTGTTTATTATCTATCTAATATAAATTAATTATCATTTGCAAGTATAATTTTTTTTCATGAATGAATTCTTCTACATTTAAATGGTGATAATTATTGAATTAAAATCTAAATGAAAAGTTTTTTTTACAAATTCTAAATCTAACTCTAATTCTATGTAGAGGGGAGGGGGAACTCTAAGGGAGAAAAGAAGAGTGTTTCTAGTAGGTTTAGAACACATGACATAAAAGAATATGAGAAAATAAAAATGAACAGTTTGACCGGCCAATCAAAATAATTACTCCAAACATTTCACTATTAGATCTTCATGTTTGCTAAAAACTTTAATAGGCATGTGCAAATGCGAACTTAATGGGGACTGAAGGATGTAATTTTTTTCCATGCTATCAAATTTTAGATAATTATTGACCACTTAAATGAATGTTATCGATCCCTATGACAAAGCCATCGTATTCTAAATTTTTTAATGAAGTGGCTAACTATTTTTGCATGACATATGCGAAAACTTTGGATCGAAAGTCAATGACAGCATGCATCACATGAAAGTGGAAATACAAGCACATACATATTATATTTTAAATGGAAGTGGTTAATTAATGTTATTAATTAAGACTAGCCTTTATACCCAAAAAAAGGCTAACCTAATGCTTTATCGGTTCCAAAGAGGGAACCAATTTCCTCTGATTGGTATTATCCGAGTCCTAAAGTACTTATTTTATTATTTTAGTAATCACTTACTGTGGAACTATTATTTTTTCTGAGTCATCTTCTTTTTCAACTATCATAGTGATAGATTCATGTAGTGGTATGGTCTGTGTTTGCTAGTTCCGAAGGATTATCACCTGGAATAATGTTTTAAAGGCGGAAGGTATAACATTTGTCACTTTTGTCACTCCTGATTGATGGAACATCATATAGTGACGTGATTATGAATGTGTACTTTCCATGTTGGGCCCTTATCTTTCGTAGAAGACGAGTTTATGAGAAAACTGTGTGCACATATGAGTTATATATATACAAATAGCTAAGTGCATGTTGATGTCGTTGGACCCAAGAGAATAATTGTTGATATGGGGACGCTTAAGGCGTAGTAACCCCAAGCCTTATACAAAGAAGATAGGTTACTTTGGTAAGTATTTTACTAATGTTAACTTTAAATGGTCTTTAATTGATTATTTGACTTTGGATTGCGTAAAAATGCTCATGGATATGAATACAACCTTTTTTTTCCCCTTCAATGTTTATATTTTGATCGAATTGGCTAGTTTGTTGTGTTTGCTGTGTGTTCATATTGTGTTTTAATATGTATTGATTGGAATTAGTCCTATTTTGGAGTAACACTGTTGTTAATGGAAAGACGTTTAACTAGATTGTTAGAGTTTGATTCGAAGTCAAAGTAACACAAATTAATTAATATATAAATTTGAGAAAATAATAAACATAGTTTGATTAAAAGTAGAAAATGTTATTAAAGTATATTTCTACCGTATATACTTTCCTTTACAATCAAATATATATCCTTATAAATAGATACTAAGGATTATGTTTAATGATTAGGTTGTCCATTAGGACTCTTATTATTTTCTTATTCTCTTGACATTAGTGAATTTTTTCCCTTTTCTGCCCGTGATTTTTCCCAAAAGGATTTTCCCCGAAAGGATTTTCCATGTAAAATTTTAGTGTCTATTTTATTAGGCGATCATTATGCATATTGTTATCTTTTAACAAATTGGTATCGGAGCGTTCAAATTATTTGATTCGATCACAATAATGACATCTTTGAAGTATAAAATTTCGTTGTTAGATCGCAACACCAAATTAACACTAAGGAAGGTAAATGCATGAAAATTTATAAGAGCTCTCTTATTCTGATGAAATGGAAGAGAAAGACTATCAAGTTGTATATTATGCAAGGTTCAATAATTATAGAATATGATCTATTATTTTCTCCTTCGTGGCAAATGGAGATTTTTGTTGAACAAAATGACCGTAGGCATAACGAATTTTGGTAGCAGAAAAGAGTTATGTTTTGTGGACATAACAAATTTGAGAAGAAAAATAGAGTTCAGTTTTGTGGACATAACAAATTCGAGAAGAAGAAAATTCATTCCTGTGAGCGTAATGAAAAAGATAGAATTGACATTGATGATCGGGATAGTTTTGTGCATTATATTTTTTGTAGTGAGCAACTTGTGAGCAAAGTTAACACTTGTGATTTGCTTACCGATGTGAAGACTAAATTCAAGTTTGGACAAGCTTTGGATTCAATTGGCAATCATTGTTGAAGAATACCCATCTAAGGGGTTTCATGGAAGAGGTGGAGAACTTGTTCGTTGAAGTGAAGGATTGTTTTTGTTGAGTTTCGGTATCTCATCGAATTTAGGTGTTTTGTCTCAAAACCTTTGTCACTTAAGTATTCACATAAAGGTGGATATTTGTTAGAGTTTGATTCGAATTCAAAGTAGAACAAATTAATTAATATATAAATTTGGAAAATAATAAACCTAATTTGATTAAAGACTTAATACCAAAATAAGTGCCCAAAACTATACCTTTTTCCCGAATAGGTGCCTACAATATTTTTTGGACCATCCAGGTGCCTAACGTTACAAACGTTACCACTTTAGTTGTATGGACAGTTAACAACGTTAATTTCCTTCATTAAGTGACACGTTTCACAATCTGATAATTTTGAATTTTTTATATAAAATTCAAAAAATAAAATTAAATATATATTTTTAAAAAGAAAACACATAAATTTTGAAATAACCTAAAAACTTTGAAACCCTTTATTTTAACCACTAAACCCACGCCAACCGCCACCCTTTGTCGTCGATGAAGCTTCACCCGATCTCACCTCCCCCCAACGATCAAAACCCCTATGAAATCGTGATAGATCGACGACGAATCGATGTCTTATACTCTGCGAACCCTAGGCAGAAAATCGCGATCACACACGATTCCAACGGCAAATCGACGACAACTACGACGACGTATAACTAGGATGATGGAAGAGCCTACGTCGATGGCGGTGGTCATGTCTGGAAAGGGCAACGACAGGGGGTTAGTCTTAGGATTTGGGGATTTTAAGGTTTTTTATATTTAAAAGAAATTAGGGTTTTTTTACAAATATGATAATATTTAAAAAATAAATTTAAAAATATCAAATTATGACACGTGTCACTTAACGGAGAAAATTAATGGTCGTTACGTCTCGGGCACCTAAAGTGGTAATATTTATAACATTAGGCACATGAATGATTCAAAAAAAATTGTAGGCACCTATTCAGGTAAAACTATATAATTTGGGCACTTATTTGAATATTAAGCCTTGATTAAGAGTATAAAACTTTATTAAAGTAGAATGATATTTTATATAGTTTTCTTTGTAATCAACTATCTATCCTTATAAATAGACACTAAGGATTAGAGTTATAGATCTGGTTGTCCATGAGGACTCGTTTTGTATTATTTTCCTCTTGATATTAGTTAATTTTCTCTTCTTTTGCCCGTGATTTTCCCAAAAGAGTTTTTCACGTAAAATTTGGTGTCTATTTTATTAGGCGATCATTATGCACATTGTTATCTTCTAACATGGGTAATTTAGGGTGTTCATTTCTTATAGATAGGAGGTTATAACCGCCGAAATGGAGGGAGCAAACGTTGGCTCGACCACTAGCAACGATGGAGAAGGAAATGTTTGGAGAGTATTTTGATGGGAGCGACTGAGTTGAAGATGTTGGTGTCATCAACACGGTAGCAGATATTGCTTTGAGTTGACTTGAGGACTACGATGGCGCACATGGTGGTTGTTCAGTGGACGATGACAACAATGTAAAGTTAAAAGGGAGGCCACCGAAATGAAAAAGGGGAAGGCACAGTGCACATGCAATGGGTTTTCAAAGTTTGGCACTGCACTTTGAAATTGGTTTTTAAAGTTTGGTATATGTCTGTTTAAAATGGTAATGGGTAAAATCACATTTAGCCATTGTACTTTAGAGTATTTATAAGATTAGTCCCTAAGCTTCAACTATAAATACCCTAACCCATTTAGCTTCAAACTCATCCCAAAATCATTTCTTTCTCCCAATACTAGAGAGCTTTCTTGTGAGTAGTGAGTGTTTTGTAAATACTTGTAAATTTTCTATCTTAGTAAAAGATCTGCAACAGTCCGGAGACGTAGGCACAATTGGCTGAACTCTGTTATCAATTTTTTGGGTATTATTTTTTCGTTTTTATTTCGCATTCTCAATAATCTGGTTATAGGGAAATTACTTGTTACTCGTT